GTGTAGCAACTCCATGATTGGCTGGAATTCCCTGAAACAAGATAATAACATTTTCCATTACATGTGTTTTAAACAAGAATTTTTATGTGTATCACAGCAGCTGTAGAAAACACATGTTCTCTTTTTATATTAATGAAATGAGGGTTAGGGTTCAGACACACCTGTACTTGTACTTAGTTCAGACATGACGGATTTCTGAGGGGAAACTATGTAAGGGCTTTGTTCAGAGATCACCTTAATCTGGTTAATTGCTGTAACTGTGGTCTTGTTGATTGCTATGCATGTTGCTTTTTTTTATATTTTTCAATGTGTTGTCTGTGTCTTCTCTAAAGCAGGGCAAAGAAAAGAAATGTCAGTTTCTGATTAAACTGCAAATCGTTTTCCAGTCTACGCTGATTTCAAATGCTTATCTACAAAAATGTATTTTCTGTTGGACAGAGTATGGTTGTAAAAAAGTATTTGTCTGGTCTGATGGTCTTAATGAAGCCAACAGTTATGGTGCTCTTCCTTTAACGTGATGCTCTCTCTGATCGAGGCTGTAGACTGTAGCTTTTGTTTGCAGATGGTTCAGATTGTGCTTTTATTTCTTTTTGTTGTTTTGTAAATGAGAAAGATGTGCTTTCTGAATGAATCTTTCCTTGATGCACATGCTTCTGTAAATAGTGACAATATGAAAGATCCTTTTATGAACGTAACTGTTCAGCTCTGCCTGATGAGAGTGGCGAGGGAAGTTGATTGTATTGTTTTTGGAATGTTTAATGTTAAAAAAAAGGACTAAAAGCTGAAGTTCTTGTTACTGCTGGTGTGAAAGCTTAAACTGTCCAGCAGCTTCAGTGTTCTACCTACTCTTCAATCCCCATCTGACTACCAGAAAAAGCTTCATTTACTGAACTCAGGCCTACGTTTTTGCCATTTTAACGGAAGAAACCCAAAGCTGTGATTGACTCAAACACGCGAGACATACACTCTTGTTTGCCCTTTCCTTTCAGCTCACTCTCCTTTTGAATGGAGATGCAGCAGAAGTTACAAGAAAAAAAATCAAAGGCAAGCATGTTGGAAGACGTGCTTCAGCTTCACACTAAGTGTTTGCGTTAAATGCTCCTTGTATGATGTTAATGTTGCTGTGTTATGTAGACACTTTGATGTGCAGGAGACCACAAATGGCTACGTTTACACGGTTCAGAGTTTCAGTCCTGTGAACAAGTCGAATTCTCACAGATTCAAGAATACTTTACCATCCTATTTGTCTTGAAGTAGCTTATTTTAGTGACTCTGTTGGTAACATCTTCTGTGAGTGGTGCAAAAAAGGGTTTCCCCCAAAAAAGTAGGTTACTTTTAAGGTTGTTTAATATGAAAAATAACTTTTTGGGTGAATTTGGTGGTGCTTTATATTCGCTTTTGGTGGTCAGTTTCCAAGACACTGCCAATAAAAGAATTTTTACTTGGTTCTAACAATGTCATTAGATTTAAGTTAATGTAACAAAGTTGGAAAGTTGTTTTGTTCACTACAGGGAAAAAAAAGTTTTTGGGGTGCATTTATAAATAGAAACATAAAATATTTAGTTTCATTGGCTTGTTACGCTGTTATGTTTAAATTACAAAGATAATGAATTAGTGTACTTTTAGTTTGGAGTAAATCAGAGACATTCTGAGCTGGATCTGTGTAAACACAACTGACCAGTGTGTGCGGAGAAAGATGTAACTCAAGAAACCAGAACAACCAATGTTGCATCATGGGAATATGGAGGTGTAAATATCAGCTACGTTGTTGCTGAAGAGATAATAATAAATTAGCAGCTTTATTTGACCTAATACAACAAAATCTAAATAGTTTAATATGTAAAAGAATACAACTGAAACATATTGAATCAAATCTAATTGTAGAAATCTAATGTGAATGTGGCAGTTTTAAACTAAAGGTTCAGCTAGATTGTTCACACAGCCAAGGAGCATTCTCCATGGGAAGGATCCCATCTAACCTCCTCACATTGTAAAATCTGATTAGTTACGCTTACTTGAAAAAGCATGCAAACCGATTGCACTGAAAATTACAAGTACACAGGACTAGGTAATTATGAGTTGGAACTACTAATGCATACTAAGTAAAATTAAGTTAATTACAAGTTACATTAAGACAAACTAGTACAGCATATTTAGAAATCTGTTTACTGAACTAGTTTTCCTTAGTTGAATATACTTTAGTAGTAAACTGTAAGGATGTTGTACTAGTTTGTCTTAGTAATAGTAGCCGATATTTAAGTTTATTTTACTTGGTATGCATTAGTACCTCCAACACATAATTACCTGTAGGTGGTAGGATTGTGCTTGCCTGTTTAATCATGGATCCTTCATTACTGTGAACTCAAGAATAATAAATGATCCATAGTAGTATGATCTCATCAAAGGGACTCTTGAGTGGACCTCTGACCCCACTTTTCTTCTCTCTGTTTTGGAGGCCACTTCCGTTTTAGTTGCAGCCTGAATTTTAGCTAAAAAATGAATATTTCTACCACTAAATTTAGATTTCATCCTTTAGGTGTAACTTTCTAAAAAATAGATTTGTCACCAAATTTTAAGTGTTTATATTTTGTGCAAAATGTTAAGGTTTAACTTTAAATCTTTAGATTTGACTTTCAAGTCCAAGACCCCATTTTATCAGAAGTTATGAGACTAAATGTATCAGTCAAAATGGCTTTTATTCAAAATATTTAGATAGAACTTAAAAACATGTGGAAGTTATTCTAAATGTCAATGTTGGAATTTATCTTTAAATATTTAGATATAACTGTTGCACTTTTCTATATAAATGTACTGAACAAGTGAATAAAATATTCAGCCATTTATAATTGTTATGGAAGCTAAACACAGCTGAATATAGACGTAATTTCCACTAAATGCGATAGACAAGTATTGGTTTGTGACTCCAAGTTTTGAAACAATAAATGACTTAAAGCAGTTAGAAACCAAGTGGACGGATTTAGAATTGACTTTGTGCAACCCTTGGATTATTTTTTTAGGTTGAATCATCTGTAACTTGTGTAGTAATTGAGGATGTGAACTCAGACTCGTTATCTCCTTGAATTGTCAGTGACTTTTATTAGAGCGGGCAGTCTTACCATCGTCTCTCGTGGACTGAAAGAATCGGAAGGTTTCATTTTTTAGGGTCATAAAATGTGCAAACCTGCCTTTAAGGGTTGTTCTAAGGACTGAAACTTAAATGTGCTGTTTGTCGGGAGCCTGTCTCTCTGTCTGTGGGTGTCCTCGTCCTGAGCCTGCTGAATTAGCCGGTTGTATTTACTCTCTGCATGTGATCATGACAAATTCATCCTGTGCTCCATCGTCGAGTTGACGACACCCTCAGAGCGGGCACTGCCTGTTGCTTTTACTGTGGTGTGTTGTTGATGACGACCTCCTGTTAATGGGACTTGTATATCAGATGCCTTTCGACAATCATGTGCACATATCAGTTACCATGATGACACAGGCCAGAGCGATTGATTGTTCTATTTGTTTTCCTGGAAATAAATTCTGAATGACCATATGATGATTTGCACCTTGTTCTGGGTGTTTTTGGGTGGATGTTGGTGGACGTTCAACACCAGACCTCTCTTACTGACACTCAGCTTAAATCTGCTTTACTGCAGATGTTTGGCAGACAGGCGATAGATGTTGTCTATGAAAACATGCAGGAAAAAAATTTAGGGTCAAAGTTAAAAACATGCTGTGGACAGATGTCGGAACCTTATTTAGAAATCTGACCTGGGGAGTTCTCTTCATACTCCTGTGTCCCCTGGATGATGGAAGAACCACAAAATTCATCTTGGCAAAGGAACAACCTCAGAAAAATTTCTAAACAAACGTGAGTTAAATCTTAAAGTGCAGACTTTAAAACAGGACACCTGGATGGGTAAAATCTAAAGGTTGTTTTAGCTGAAACACCTCCACACACTAAGGGTGATTTTAAGCATCAAATGAAAGTGTTACACTGAAATTTCTAGTCACTAAAATTATGAATTGATTTAAATGAAAAATAACTATTGAACTCGGGTACTGAAGTCAGAACCAGAGCAAATGATCTGAATTGGTGGTAGCTTCCATGCTCATGTTTCACGTTTATTCTATCAACAAATTGCTGCCCTAGTGGATGGTTCTTGTATTGGTTTTAAGCCCCACCCCTTCTATTTAAACTAACAGGATATTTACAGACTAAAAAGGTTATGAGAACTAAGATCGTTTTGGGGTGACTATTTTTGTGTCTGAAATTCTCAACTGACATTCCAGAATGAAGGAATTCTGTCCCTCTGGCCGGCTGTGGAAGCAGATGTGCAATTTTTATGTTGGTTGAGGCCCAAAAATACAAATAAATAACATTTTATTGTAAAAATAAATGCAATGATTGTCTATTTGCTTATATGATTTTAGCCTGTAATTGAATTTCCTGGTAAATGGGTCCACAAACCCTCCCAGACTTGTACTAAAAAGTAGAGCTGTGTGCACCAATCACAGAATAAACACAACAAACCATACTAAAGGAGCAGTCACCCAGATCCTAATCTTGTTTCATAATAATGGACTCAAACTTTGTTTAAAGACCAAGAAACTAGAAAAGAATCTATCTAATCCATTACAAACTTGTCTTTTTTTTCCCTTTAAACCTGTGAAATCCTTTTGTGTCTCTACCTACAAAGATTTGCTGATTTTTTTCTAACTAGAAAATATAAATACTTTGTTCTTTACAGCAGACCATTTAGTCACCCTGGTGATCGTCTTGGCTTGATGGCAACAGGTACAGGTCATGAAGTAGCTATACTGTGATATTTAAAGGTCACCAAACCATAACAAGTCCTCCACCGTGCTTTGCTGTTTTAGTCTGTTAGTGAAGACCAAGGCCAACTTTCACCTTTCTAGCGTTTTAAACTGAGATCTTCTTGAGTCATGGGAGTTACAGAATGTTTTTGTCAAATTTTGAGAAATAAAATGTTACGGGCGAAAATCATGAACAGGGTTGAATCCAAAATTTAATCAGTTGTAGATGTACATATCCAGTGAAAACCTGCAGAAAAATTCACTATAATCTGTCCACTGATTCATGAGATATTTTTGTCCGACTCTTCAGAGTCACAGGTAAGAATATTAATGTCCACCTTTCACGTTACGGGTGATTAAAACGTGACTTCTGCTGAATCTTGAACTAGTTTGACTAAATGTTTCATTCATTTCTTGTGAGATTGTGTGTTCAAATGCACTCAAATAATCAAAAACCAAGATGTTCAACAACCATTTTTTTAGATTGTCGTTTCCTTTAAAACAAAAACATTTCCTATAGAAAACTGAAATATGTTTTGTGCCTTTGATGTTGGGTTGTTATCAGATGCATAAATCAGGTTTTGATGGTAGAACCTCCATGTGTCTGCCTCCCGTTGAGCTGTAATGATTTGTTTTTATTTCACTCTAAGATCTCGTGATGTGATGTTCATTCGCCTCCTTCCAGCATTTTCCTGTCTGGATATTTCAGTGACACCATGCTGTTCAGAGCACTGCTGCCCACATAAACACATTCCAGTCACTTGATAGACCAGATACACACACCCACACACACACACTCACTACACACACATCCTCTCCTCTGACCCGGGCCTTTCTTTACTCTCTCTGTGTGATCCCGACAACACTCAGTGTGTGTGTGTGTGTGTGTGCGTGTGTGCGCATGTGTGTGCGTGCGTGCGTGCTTGTTTTTCAGTACTCCAGTGACCCAGATGTTCATAATGGTCCTCAGCATATCCAGTGATGTTCATCCAAATCAAACATATATGGAAAATAAACTTTCATGCGGATTCAGACTTAATAAAAATGTCACTTTCTAAAACTCCTCCAAATTCCAAGTTTATCCTGAATTAGAAAAAAAAGATATCTGAGGTGTTTTTTTTTCTATCATCAGTTGTCAAATTGTGTGGATGTAAAATAAGACTAAAACTGAACACAACATGTTCTGACTCAACAGGATGCCTGCAACAGTAATGAACAAAGTGCAGAATTTTTATTTATTCATTCAAAAGGTAAAAAACAAACTCTGATGTGGTTAAATTTATCTCCAATTGACAGTAAGAGAATAATTTCTAATATTGTCCTAAACATGCCTCTTTTGGCAATTCAGATGTTTATTTACAAAAAATGATAAAGTTTGTTCCCCTGCTGCCTTTAGACCGTCCAGCAGCCTCTCCCTGTCCTCAGACAGTATTTAGTCCTGGCCTACAGGCCAATGATCCCAGTTAAAGCTGCATCTTCTGAGGTGATGTTACACCAGTGTGGCCCCCAAGCAGAGTCTCCTCCTGCATCACAGCATTGGGGTGATGTCCTGCCCTCCTCTCTGCAGCCATCAGTTTTTCCTGCAGCTCCAGGGTCTCCTGCTCCGCCTCATGTGCAGCCTTGCGGACTTTCCTCAGGGATCGCTTCACCTTGCGGACACGCTCCTTCAGCTGCCGGTTCCTCCTCTCAGTTGCAGCCAGACGCTCCTGCAGCCTGCGGCTACGCTCCTCCTCCTCAAACAGCGCCGCCTGCACCGAAGAACACAGCAGCTGTAGGACGGGAGGGAGAGTGGGCAGAGTCAAGCCAAACCGGGATTGTGTTTTACCCTAAACAAACCAAACATCTCTAAAAAGGGATGAAAATGAAATGAATAGAAGATATTGACCTTTGATATTTATCTACACACACTCCCTACTTACGGTTCAAGATCAGCCGAGAAAGATGTGTGTTGGACATGCATAGACACCCCTCACCCCACTCTGACGGGGGGGAGGTCACATACTTTAATGTTCCATGGTCAGAAGACATATTTGTATCTGATTTATGGACCAGAACTCAGCTGGGTTACCAGGCCTGATTGCTCCTGAAGAACAGCAGTGTTTCATTTCCCTGATTTTATCATCATCATCATCATCATCATCAACCTTTATTTATAAAGCACATTTAAATGGCAACAACACCAACCAAAGTGCTGTACAAGACAATACATCACCAAAATAGATAAAACAAATAAAAACTATTAAAAATAAAATAAAATAAAAAACAGGAAAGCAAACGGGTTAAACAGTCTCAGCCGGGAAGGCCAGGGTACTTTAAAAGCAGGAAGGGAGGGGCAAGTCGGACCGTCAGGGGGAGTTCGTTCCAAAGTTTAGGCGCACAAACTGAAAAAGCCCGTTCGCCACGGGCCATATAGCGGGCAGGAGGGACAAGCAGAAGGTGCTGGTCAGAGGACCTCAGGGTTCGCGCCGGAACATAGGGACTCAAAAGATGTGCCAAAGAAGAGGTCATGAATAGATTTGTCAACCAACAGGAGAATTTTGAACTTAATACGAAACCGAACTGGAAGCCAGTGTAAATTTTCCAAAACGGGGGTGATATGCTGCCGTCGGTCTATGCCCGTAAGAAACCTTGCAGCAGCATTCTGAACCAATTGGAGGCGTACCACTGAAGAGGAGGGAATACCATATAAAAGAGAATTGGCATAGTCCAGACGTGACGTTACAAAAGCATGAACAACTGACTGAAGATCTTTTTTGTTCAGGACAGATTTTAGTTTGGCCACCACTGTATTTTTGAATTTGTCAAACACAGAAACAAAAAATAAATCTAAGACATTTAACAGAAAATACTATCAGATCTGCACTTTTCTAAACTTTCATCAAGAATTATCACTTGAAAAGATTATAAATCAAAATTATTTTAATTTTTTCATGTGCCCATAGACACTCAGTACAAGCCTCAGAAACACAGACACAAGCAGCACCTGTCAAAACATCCGGCCGTTACCTGCTGCTAAAGCATCATCTGTATAACAGTATTTACAGAACATCTCCACAAATGTCCCCAAATTCAATAACAATGTATCTAAACTAGTTTTAGACACAAACAAAATTCAAAGATGATTATATTTTTGGTAAATCTGACTCTATGGCTGTGTATTTTGAGTATTTCTGGTTATGTAAATATTTTACTCACAAGTTGTTTTTCTTTTCTAGAGTTTTCTCCTAGTTTATTCAAAGTGTTCATTTTTATTTCTCTTTGTATGTGTTTAAATAAACTCAGTAAGTGTCCCTTGAAATAGCCTCGTGTATTTCCTGTCTGCATGTTGATGTCAGAGAGAAAGAAAGTTTTCTTCTTTCTCGTAAGGCTTTTGTTCAGTTTTTGTGAGCAGGGTGGAAAAAGGAGTAGGAGATGAAGAGATAGAAGAACAGAGAGGTGACAGTAAGAGAAAAAAAAACACAAGACAAAGAAAACAGGACCCACAGGGAACCAGTTCTCCTCTGCTTCTGCTTTTTCACACAATTTTCACTGAGTTCCTCACAAGTATCGACATCCCACAGCAGAATTAAACAGGCAGCTGTGGAGACAGCCCTGTGAGCATATGTAAAATGTTGAGAAGCTTTTATGTTTAACATGAATCACAGTTACAAAGTTCACTCATTTTTCAACACATTTGCAGCAGTTTAGTATAAATGAATGCCCTGTGAGTTGATCTCTGTGCAAAGAAAAGCTCTGGCGCTACTGAAGAAGTTCTGCCATGTTGCTAATGCTAATGGTTAGCTTCTACTAACCAAGTCATGCACTCTTCCTTCCTGGATGCAAAATCAACAACAGCTTTCCCTGTCATGCGCTAAGATGGGTGAGTCCATGAATGCTAATAGGAAGCCCATGTAGTACTTCCAGAAAGCGCATCAACAAATTGACGCCATCAAACCAGACGTGAAGAAGAGCAGATGAAAAATGGCTGTAAGTTGAGCGAGTGCTGAATCCTTGCCTGCTGGTGGTGGTCGGAGGGACCGATGGCGCCAGTGCTCGGCAGCCTCACCTCTGTCAGTGCTTCCCAGGGCAGCTGTTGCGACAATGTAGCTCATCCCCACCAGCATGTGAATGACTGATTGTTTTGTAAAGCACCTGTATCAAATACTGGCCATTTAGTAGTAGTTAGTAGTAGTTAGTAGTTAGTAGTAGTAGTAGTAGTAGTAGTAGTAGTAGTAGTAGTAGTAGTAGTAGTAGTAGTGGTAGTGGTAGAAGAAGAAGATTTCTATAGCTCCTCTCAAGATAAAAATCTTGAGGCGCTTCACAAAAACAAAAAAATGTAAAAACATAAAAAAGAATTTAGAAAATGGTTAAAAATTTATTTAAAATGAGCAAAAAATAGACAATTGTGATTAAAAATGTAAATAAAGAGAGAGAGTGAATAGGAAAGAGGGAAATGATTGGATCCTGAGGAAAGTGGAATAGGTGGGGAGAGCAGAACAAGGAGAGGGTGAAGAAGGTCATACAAAAGCCAGCTTGAACAAGTGAGACTTCAGCTGCTTTTTAAAGGAGACCACTGAGTCCACTGATCTCAGGCTCAGGAAGAGACAGGTCCAGAGTCTGGGGGCCACAGCAGCAGATGATCTGTCACCTTTGGTCTTTAGCCTGGTGCTGCACAACCAGTAGACTTTGATCACTGGACCTCAGGGACCTGCTGGGGGTGTAGGGACTAAAGCCTGATTTATGCTTCTCCGTCTGCGTCAGTGCGGAGACACGCAACGCCATTATCCGTCCTTGCGTAGGGCACGCAGGTACGTATGGAGTCGAGCCCACTTTTTTAAACATCCGTCGAACGAGACGGATTATGCAAGCTTGTTATTGGTCAGGACGCCGCTGTTGTTTACAGCGCCGCCATTGCAAAGAGAGCCGAGGATAACTAGCAGCAGACACGGAGAAGCTTGAAGAATACCTCGCGAAAAAACTCTAAAAATATAAACGCTTCATCCTCCCGTGACTGGAGGAGTGAAAAGATGTGCAGCAAGCGTTTTATTTGTGGACGGGAATGACAGGAAACGTGGGTTTAGAGGTGGGGAGCGCATGAAGCGGTGGGAGAATGAGGGACAAATATGTCCGTGTTAAAAGTCTCTTATATACACAAAAAACACAATATAAACACACTATCTTGGACCGATACATGACAGGATACCACAGAACAGCGCTACACCCTCTGTGGTCCTGCCGGGCAATTGCTTTGCAACACTCTCCAGGAGACGGAGAAGTATGAGAGCAAAACGCTTCCGTCAATCCGTGCGTGTCTGTCCCTTGCGGAGCTGACGGAGAAGCATAAACCAGGCTTTAGAAGATCACCAATGTAAGATGGTGCTTGTCCATGTAAGGCCCTATAGACCAGAACCAGGATCTTGAAATGAACCCTGAAGTTGACTGGCAGCCAGTGAAGCTGGAGGAGAAGCGGGGTGATGTGGGTGTGTTTGGAGGACTTGGTCAGAAGCCGAGCACAGGCATTCTGAACCACCTGTAGTTTGTCACAAAGCATGTGACAAACGTGGTCGAAACACACATCATTACTTTTCATTTAAATTGAACATATGTGCGATCCGGGGCATAAGGCAAAGCGGATTAGAAAAAAGCTCTTTTAGCCCCGTTCACTTGCATTCATTTTTTTCATTCTTCCAGGGACCTATGAGTCAAGCAGAAAGGGAAGAAAGAGACTTGACTCCCTATTTCCAATGTGGCATGCAATTGACTGCTTTTTCTAATCAGAGTTTCCCTATATTGTCTATTGATGACTTATGTAGAAAATATGGGATAGAAGACTATTTTCACGATCAATCTGCATGTGCAACTCAGACTGGCCTATCAAATTTCAAGTGAACTTGGTCTTTAATTTGCACATAACAAAGTGGTAAAAGTGTTGAACACTCGTTTAATCAATATATTTGCAGTGGTGTCTAGAAGGAATGAGTGCCTTGTAAGTCGTACTTGAGGGGGGTTAGTGTCTGTATTAGCATGGAGGAGTCAGCTGGAGAAGAAAGGGCAGAACACGGCAGGATTTGGAGTCTTATTTCCTGATATTTTGACATCTCACCTCTGATTGGATAACAGCAACAAGACCCTACCACTGACTCAGTTTGCTTTTCAACATTGATGTTTTATCTCCACAAATAACACAAGTCTGGAGAAGCTTCTGCCATGTGATGGAGTTGCTAATGCTAACGGTTAGCTTCTACTAGCCGAGACATTCTCTGCTGTTTCCTGGACGCTAAACCTTCCCTGTCGTGAGTCAAGATGTGCGAGTCCATGAATGTTGAATGACAGTTTGAACACAGATCTGTCAGTGTTTTTCTGTCTATTTTCTATCAGAAGCTAATGCAGGAAATAGGTGTAGGAGACTATTTTCATGTTCAGCCTGCATGAAAAACTCAAATGTGAGTGATTATACTCAGAAACAATCTTTTAAAAAATGGTTTCTCATTATGCTACATCTTTCAACTTTGACACATAAAAACACTGGACATCGTTTAGTCCAAAATAAATCTGTATCCGGTTTGCTCTAAAGATCTTTTCAGTGTTAAAACAAGGCTTTGAGTGAAGGTCAATTGAAGGTTTGGCCGGAAACTATAAGTGACGAAGTCTGGTTTGGAACAGCATCTGTTTCCCACGGCACAGAAGGAAGCCCATCCCCAGCTTTAATTTTAGGGAGGTTTTTGTTTAATTATAGCTGAAGGATATCTTAAAACATCAAAGCACCATGGGCGTCACACCCGTGGGGGAT